TCCCATTCTATTTGATGACTGCCTGCCAAGTACATAAGCGAATTATCCGCGTACCGACCGTACCGTACCGACGGTTTGGTTTGGTTTGGTTTGGTTAAATAATTATTTTTTAATTTTAATTATTCCAATCCGATCCGTACCGAAATGTTTGGTTTGGTTAACGGAAACAAAATTCCTAACCCGATGGAAACCCGTACCGATCCGATATTTATACTTATTTTATTATTTGAATACAAAACAAGAAACCAAAGGTAAATACAATCAGCATTTTGTATCACTGCTTTATCACCACTGTATCACTTCTTTATCACCATTGTATCACTTACCTGGTACTGTAGCACTGTTTGGTTAGAGGAATTTGTGAACTTCCTATATTTTCTAGTTTCGACCTTTGTCCCGTTTTTTACCTGTAACTTTCCAACTGTTGATCCAAATTTTATGTTCTTTATATGGTTGGATTCAGCATGAAAAACTACAGAACCCAACATGGAACAAATGCCAAAAGCATTTACATAAATGTAGAAAAAGTTTGGAAGTATCTAAAGAAAGAAAAAGTGAGTTTTATAAAAGGATTTTTTTGTAGAAATGTCACATGAACTTATACTTTAGTTTTAGTTTGTCACCTTAAAGACCTCTCCTCCCTCTGTTTGTTTCTCACCCACAACCTCACCATCCCATCCTCACCCACAGCCCCAGCCCCACCCTCCCATTCTATTTGATGACTGCCTGCCAAGTACATAAGCGAATTATCCGCGTACCGACCGTACCGTACCGACGGTTTGGTTTGGTTTGGTTTGGTTAAATAATTATTTTTTAATTTTAATTATTCCAATCCGATCCGTACCGAAATGTTTGGTTTGGTTAACGGAAACAAAATTCCTAACCCGATGGAAACCCGTACCGATCCGATATTTATACTTATTTTATTATTTGAATACAAAACAAGAAACCAAAGGTAAATACAATCAGCATTTTGTATCACTGCTTTATCACCACTGTATCACTTCTTTATCACCATTGTATCACTTACCTGGTACTGTAGCACTGTTTGGTTAGAGGAATTTGTGAACTTCCTATATTTTCTAGTTTCGACCTTTGTCCCGTTTTTTACCTGTAACTTTCCAACTGTTGATCCAAATTTTATGTTCTTTATATGGTTGGATTCAGCATGAAAAACTACAGAACCCAACATGGAACAAATGCCAAAAGCATTTACATAAATGTAGAAAAAGTTTGGAAGTATCTAAAGAAAGAAAAAGTGAGTTTTATAAAAGGATTTTTTTGTAGAAATGTCACATGAACTTATACTTTAGTTTTAGTTTGTCACCTTAAAGACCTCTCCTCCCTCTGTTTGTTTCTCACCCACAACCTCACCATCCCATCCTCACCCACAGCCCCAGCCCCACCCTCCCATTCTATTTGATGACTGCCTGCCAAGTACATAAGCGAATTATCCGCGTACCGACCGTACCGTACCGACGGTTTGGTTTGGTTTGGTTTGGTTAAATAATTATTTTTTAATTTTAATTATTCCAATCCGATCCGTACCGAAATGTTTGGTTTGGTTAACGGAAACAAAATTCCTAACCCGATGGAAACCCGTACCGATCCGATATTTATACTTATTTTATTATTTGAATACAAAACAAGAAACCAAAGGTAAATACAATCAGCATTTTGTATCACTGCTTTATCACCACTGTATCACTTCTTTATCACCATTGTATCACTTACCTGGTACTGTAGCACTGTTTGGTTAGAGGAATTTGTGAACTTCCTATATTTTCTAGTTTCGACCTTTGTCCCGTTTTTTACCTGTAACTTTCCAACTGTTGATCCAAATTTTATGTTCTTTATATGGTTGGATTCAGCATGAAAAACTACAGAACCCAACATGGAACAAATGCCAAAAGCATTTACATAAATGTAGAAAAAGTTTGGAAGTATCTAAAGAAAGAAAAAGTGAGTTTTATAAAAGGATTTTTTTGTAGAAATGTCACATGAACTTATACTTTAGTTTTAGTTTGTCACCTTAAAGACCTCTCCTCCCTCTGTTTGTTTCTCACCCACAACCTCACCATCCCATCCTCACCCACAGCCCCAGCCCCACCCTCCCATTCTATTTGATGACTGCCTGCCAAGTACATAAGCGAATTATCCGCGTACCGACCGTACCGTACCGACGGTTTGGTTTGGTTTGGTTTGGTTAAATAATTATTTTTTAATTTTAATTATTCCAATCCGATCCGTACCGAAATGTTTGGTTTGGTTAACGGAAACAAAATTCCTAACCCGATGGAAACCCGTACCGATCCGATATTTATACTTATTTTATTATTTGAATACAAAACAAGAAACCAAAGGTAAATACAATCAGCATTTTGTATCACTGCTTTATCACCACTGTATCACTTCTTTATCACCATTGTATCACTTACCTGGTACTGTAGCACTGTTTGGTTAGAGGAATTTGTGAACTTCCTATATTTTCTAGTTTCGACCTTTGTCCCGTTTTTTACCTGTAACTTTCCAACTGTTGATCCAAATTTTATGTTCTTTATATGGTTGGATTCAGCATGAAAAACTACAGAACCCAACATGGAACAAATGCCAAAAGCATTTACATAAATGTAGAAAAAGTTTGGAAGTATCTAAAGAAAGAAAAAGTGAGTTTTATAAAAGGATTTTTTTGTAGAAATGTCACATGAACTTATACTTTAGTTTTAGTTTGTCACCTTAAAGACCTCTCCTCCCTCTGTTTGTTTCTCACCCACAACCTCACCATCCCATCCTCACCCACAGCCCCAGCCCCACCCTCCCATTCTATTTGATGACTGCCTGCCAAGTACATAAGCGAATTATCCGCGTACCGACCGTACCGTACCGACGGTTTGGTTTGGTTTGGTTAAATAATTATTTTTTAATTTTAATTATTCCGATCCGATCCGTACCGAAACGTTTGGTTTGGTTAACGGTTAACAATATCCCTTATTCGACGAAAAGGAGATGAGAAGTTGCAGAGGGACCTGCAACTTTTCTTTCTTTTTTGGTACAGAACGTGGCAAATACAATGATTAAAGCTATATGAATTGGAACATATGTTGACTATTCAAATGTGCACAAGGAATCTTAGTATTTAAATATTGTAAGGAATGAATCATTTAGCTTTAATCTTTAGTTTCAATTGCAAAAAGCTATATGTAATATCACTCATGTCTTTTTGTTTAATTTAATTAATTTGTGTTTCAATTGCAAAAACCTTCAGTTCATCTACTAGTCCTATGTCAAACGTAATTTGTGGGTTATTTTATGGATGATGATGTTGAGAAGAAGAAAAAAAGAGTGGGGCCTCCTACCTCAAATTATTGGGATTGTGCTAGAGTCTTGATCAAGTTATTGAAGTTATACTACGAAGCCACTTTGATTAATGAGTTACAAAAAGGAGTCAAGGATTTTTTAATCCACATGTACAAAATTGAGACTGGTAAGTAATTTTAATTTTTTATATTTCTTTTGGTTTTCAATTACATTCATATGACATATGTTTATTTTCTCATTTTCATAATTTGTTTAATGATGTAGAGGTATATTCTAATTCTCAAATGAAAGAGAAAGTGGTTGCTAGTCCATCTTGACTACATATTAAATGGTATAGTGATGAATAACCTTCCTTAATCTCAAATAACATGCCCATGTACTTGATATTTATTCTTTAACTTTGTTTTTCTTTGGCTACAGTACACAAATCAGATTTGGATTGAAGATTACTAGGCCTCTATGCTGCAATTTTTGGTTCTTTGAAGTGTTTAAACTAATTTCTTATTATTTTGTAACGTTATTTGCTATTTTATTATGTAGTTTCAATGTTCGTTTGTAACTTTAAAATTAAGTTATTTGATTTTGTATTTTATAAGGATAATTTGGTGTATATGTTTAAGTGAGAGAAAAGTAGAATCGTCTGTTTAGAAAAACTTCTTTGGTTTGAAAGAAAGAAAGAAAACTACTCAATCTTAAAGAAAGAAAAGTTATTGCATGATTAAAGACAAAGTTACATTAAAAACATTTCTTTGTCATGAGCTTTCAACTTTCAAGAGAGAAAGTTGCGTACATGGGCTTTCAACTTTCAAGTGCTTTCAACTTTCAAGAAAGAAAGTGGCATTGAGCTTTCAACTTTTATGAAAGAAAGTTAAGTTGTCGACAAAATTTTCTTTGACATTAAAAATATTCTTTTGGGGTGAAGTATGAGGTTCTGCGTGTTGTTTTTGGGATGGGAAAGATTAAACAGCTTGTTGTTGTACTATTGTGATTTACCTTTTGGCTTGTTTTATGAAATATCAGTTACCAAAAAAAAGCTACGATTTGTAATTGTGTTTTCTTGGTCAAATCCAGCCGCCGTGCCTTATTTGACCCACGAGTGTAAATATACGGGTCCTTGCAATATAGAAAGAACAATTAATTTGCACTAGATTTTGGTGCTGCAATCCTAAAAACATCCTCCCTCACCACAAATCGTAGCTTTCAGCTGCTTATTTTTAAATTATTTTTATTTTATTACAATATGTGCCCTTTGTAATTCTTTTGGCTTTTGTTCAAAGTTCAAACACCCTCCTTTTTTTCTTCAAGTATATAAAGGGCACAGCCACTTTTTTGGTACCAAGAAAAAACCAAACCCCAAAACTGAAAACTCAATCCACATGGAGATGGAATCTGCTAGTTTCTTCCAATTTTCTAGTGCCTCAGATTTCTCACCAAGTCTTCTTTTGTGTCTTGAATTTATTTACATTTACATATATGTTTGTTTAGTAGTTATGCTTATGCCGTTGGAATTTCCTTGTTAATTAGAGAATTTGAAATAGACTCTACTCTTATTTCAAAGTTTCAAGATACTGTTATTATCACTGGTAGTCTGGTACACAAATGCATCATTGGATTATGACCAAAAAAAAATTTATTATTGGATACCCATGCTCACTTTTCTTCTTTCAAGTTGTATTTGTTACCTTTTTTCTGTTTGTCAGACTTTACTCCTGCCTCAGTTTTGAGCTAGTTTGATATTGAAAAAAACTGCTTTTGATGTGCTGCAAGAATAATGAAAAAAATCAGTTAGGCATTTGATAAACTATATTTGAAGAGAATTGTGAGCAATTGGTAAACTTTTATACATAATAATGAGTATATAGAATGACAAAAAAAGCCACGAGATATAAAAAAGCCACGCTATCTTAGAAACCCCACATCCCTCCTAGGGTCAAGACTTTTCTCTATTTCCCTCTTGTTTGTTTTCTCTCTTCTTCTTCGTCCTCTTTCTTTCCCTTCTCTGTTCTCTTTGTTTTGGATAGTGGGTAGAGATAGTTTCCTTTTCTTTCTTTTAATTTTTTTTGCTGGGCTAAGAAAAAAAAAGCAAAATACCTTGTGGAGGGATTGCGAGATGAATGTGTGGTCGGCGTCGCTAAAGGCAAAAGGTGGAGAGACCTTTCTACTAACCAAGACTGCAGGTACATTATAGTATAATAAGTTGAAGGTAGAAAAATTGAAAGAACAAAAAAATTCTTGGAACCATAATTGTGGACAGAACAGAGAAAATTGATAGGAAAATAAAAAATTTCTGTTAAAAAAAACACCTTCAAACTCTTTTTTTTTTTTGGAAGTGAGAGAAGCAACACAGAATCGAGGAAAACAAACTCATTTTACCGGGATGCACAATTTTGCACGCTTGGGATTGAATTTTCGTTTGGCCTCAGAGACAGAGGGAGGAGATGCCTAACGTTGGGTTGTGTGGATCGATGAGATTTGGGGTTGAGCTTAAGAGAGAGAGATCGGCAGATTTGAATAGGTGGTATAATGTCGGGTATTTTGCTGGGTTGTAAGAAAGAGAGGGTGGATTGTAGTGGGTGGGTAGGAGAAGGGACCTTGAAAAGAGATTTGAGTTTCAACTTGCAGGGCATCCATTCCCTAAATTCACCATATGTGCCTAGATGTGCAAATCGAGCAGCTCATGCAGCAGCTTCGATTGGTTTGAGAGCTATGGAACTGAAAAGTTGGGTCACCAGAAAAGATGCTTCTTCTTTGAAGATATGGGAATTGGCCTTGTCTTCTTAAAATTTTGTTCTGCATGCCTTATATATTTTTATTCCTTCATGTCTAACCAATACATGATAATAAAAGTAATATGGGAGAAAGTAACGATATTATTGTTTTCCTTTGATTTAAAATCTTTAAATTCATAATTGTATAGCCTTTTTTAATTTTAAAGTCTTCTCAGTTTGAGATATAAACTAGCTGAACTC